ATATATTTCTGGGTTGTCAGCTGTGACGCTTTATATATATATATATATATATATATATATATATATATGTTACGATGAAGAGACATTTATGGATTTTTCCACTTATTATGACATTTTTGGACTGATGCGACTTATATGGCGGTGCGACGGATACGGCGGAAAATATGATATTTCAGCGCAATACTTCCACTGAAACCTTTTACCTCTTGAGTGGTTGTAGTGACTGGTTGTTGTCCCCTGTGGTTGTTGTTGTTTCAATCAAAGGAGATTTCTTAACATCTTTCTTCTCATTCATCAGCTGAAATTAAAACAACACAAAAAAAGCAGGACACTTAATACATTCTGGTACCTGATTTTCTCTGATTTACTTGTCCAAGCTGATTGAGATGCACCGTGCTGATAGAACATTTGATCCAATAAGGATTCAGACGAACTCACCAGATTTTGTTTCTTTTGTAGCTCTTCTAAGTATCCCAGAACGTCTTCATCTGCTACATCTAAAGCGGTCTGGCCCTGAGGAAAAGACGTAAAATATAAGTTAATGATTGCACCGCACTTCTTGAGGAGTTTTCTTACCATTCTAGTTGCTCACCATTTTATTAACAATGTCCATGTCACATAGATTCTCCACCAGTATCCTACACGCCTCCTCTTTGCCCCAGTGTGCTGCTGCATGTAGAGGAGTCCAGCCATCATTGTCCTTAATATTTACATCATACCCTGCTTGGATTAAAAGCCTGCACAATGAGCAAACAGATTTGAAAGTGCTGGGTTAGTTCAACAAAAATATAATCCAGCTTTTTAAATTATGGACAGACAATGTTCTCAATCACTTAGCAAAGCTGAATGTGAAACTACAAGTGATGCCGTTGCTGTTACGGGGCAAACATTAAGTCTCTAATAGTTGTGGTAAACATCATGGATCTTAAAAGAATTGACGGCAGCTCAAGTTGTTGGCTGGCTTCCCAGAACAGACGGACAGGCTACTGCAGTTCCTACTCTCGAGCTGCGTAGCTGTCTTAACAGTTCACAGAAACAATGTCACAACAACGCAATATGACAAGGTGCAAAGACCAAGATAAGTCTGGTACCAGAAAATATAAACTAAGGTGAAATCCAGAGCACGGCTTACTTTAAAACCTCCACGTATCCTTTTGCAGCAGCTACATGAAGCGCCGTGCCTCCAGATTTTGCATGCCGGGTGTCCTGGATTTGACCACTATTGAGCCACTGCCGAGCGTCCCTAAGCATGATCCGCTCCTCCTCTTTTCGGGCCGCCTCAATATCTAAGCCTGGAGACAAAAACAGTTGATGCCGTAAAACTGATATCCAGGAATTTACACTTTTACACACTTTACAATTTACACACAATCTGCCTCTTTTAAAGAAAGAGGCACAATTACATAAATATATTTGTGAGATGTATTTATCTTACACGCTAAAAAGTGGCATGTGTTAGTTTCTAAGGAGTAGAGTAGCGAAAATTTAATGTTGGCCATTTAAGGAATGAGATAAATTAGTACACCTAATCCCAAATTAGCAGCCAATATACAAGACTAAATCAGTACCCAGCATTTAAATTAGGAATATTTATTCTAGATTTAGCTCCAGCTGGTATGCTGTTATTTCAGAACAAGTAAATTTGCACATCTTTACTGAGACTTATTTCCCCCCCCCCTTTACTTAAATACACATCACCTTTTAATCCAAACAGCAGCTACAGCATTAAACAGAAAAATACAAATAAAACTAGAAA